GTCTTTATTTTACAGTTAAAATATATGTTTATCAAATAAAGTCTAAAGTTACAACTAATCATGGATCACTTTAAAAACCAGTTCATCATTTACTTGGTTAACAACTTTCTAAWAAATGATAAACTGAAATTAAAATCTAATTATTTTATCGTCATCAGGAAAAAGCAACAATAAAGAACTTCTTAGACGTCACCYTGGAGATGCTGTGTTTAATAAACTTCCTGTTCCTGCCTGAGGTCTCCTCATTATTTCGATGTAAAGATGTAATCCTGCTCTGTGTCTTCAGGCACGCTCACTCAGGCCATCCGCAACTTTGCAAAGAGTCTGGAGGGCTGGCTCACTAACGCCATGAGCAGCTTCCCACAAGAGATCGTTCGCATGAAGGTAAATAAAAACTCAAATGATTTGAAGTCCTGTGTTGGTGTGTTTTAGTTCATTAGTTRTATTGTTCAGAAAAGGACTGGATTTGAGGCGAGCTCATGAACTCTAACTGTTCTGCTCCTGGTGGGCTGCAGGTGGCAGTGGTCAGTGCGTTTGCTCAGACTCTGAGGCGGTACACCAGCCTGAACCACCTGGCCCAGGCAGCTCGCGCCGTCCTCCAGAACACCTCTCAGATAAACCAGATGCTCTCTGACCTCAACAGGGTGGACTTTGCTAACGTCCAGGTAAGACCCTCCGATGGCGCTCAGGCCYGCCCCCCGCGGTTCTTCTCCTGACCGAGCCCGGGTGTGTCTCGTTGTGTCCGACAGGAGCAGGCTTCCTGGGTGTGTCAGTGTGACGAGAGCGTGGTGCAGCGCCTGGAGCAGGACTTTAAGGTCACCCTGCAGCAGCAGAGCTCTCTGGACCAGTGGGCCACYTGGCTGGATAACGTGGTCTCTCAGGTCCTCAAACCTCATCAGGGCAGCCCCAGTTTCCCCAAAGCCGCTCGCCAGTTCCTGCTCAAGTGGTCGTTTTACAGGTGCAGTGGAGAAACACTTTTCAACTCTGCACAGGTCAGTGAGACGGCATGTTTCTGAACGTCTCTCCCTCCTGCAGCTCGATGGTGATCAGAGATCTGACCCTGCGCAGCGCCGCCAGCTTCGGCTCCTTTCACCTGATCCGCCTGCTGTATGACGAGTACATGTTCTACCTGGTGGAGCACCGCGTGGCTCAGGCCACCGGAGAAACTCCCATCGCTGTCATGGGAGAGGTGAGATCCTCTGTGTTCTCATAAATAAAACACCAGAATACYGGGAAATGATCAGATGAGAGAAAGTTGTTTTGTTGAATATTTTTCTTACAGTTCAGTGACCTGAGCTCCATGATGCCGTCGCTCATGGAGAAAGGTAAGCTTTGAAGTTTTTACTCATTTTTATGTGCTCRGGGGTGGTTTGAGCTGATCTACAAAGTGTTTAAGCTTTAGTTTATTTTATTTTTTTGTAACTTCTGAAGTTCAGATAAAACCTTTCCTACAACAGCATCAATCAGACTGATACAAAGTTATTTTTCCATCTCACTGGTYGTCCCTGATGGAATAAATACACTTACAACCTGCAGTGGAGCAAGAATAAAAATAACCTGAGTCCAAATGTGACAAAATATTAAGATGTAAAATAATTAGAAAGAGAACAACTGCAAACTTGTGAAGATAAGTCTGAAGAAGAAAAACTAAAATTGATTAAAGATTAAGAAAGAGATAAACAATAAGCCCTCCCCCACTCTGTGCAAAAGTTAAGATTTTTTTCCCTTTTTGTTATTAATTAGATAAATGTGAGGGAGTAAAAACTTCAAGTTGAACATGTTGAATCATATTATTGTACCTCAATGAAGTATAATAAAAGTAAAATGGTAATTTATTAAATACATGCAAACCTTCCCTTTGCATTTTGTTTTTCTTGTACTTTATTGATCTCATAGAWGTGATTGAACTCACAGTATTTCTGTTTTGGTTGCTCATTTAGTAATTAATATCTGGGACTTAAACCCTGAACTCCTCGTCTTCCTGAACCAGAGTTAATAATCCTAAACACTGGGCCAACTTCCAGCTGACTGATGTGAAGTTTTTACTTTCCTAAGTTTCACCAGTTAATATTCAGCAGTGGAGAAATCATTCAAAAGTGTGCAAACCAACTTTTACAGGTTTTATATTCAGCATAACGTCATGAAACAGAACCCTGACTGCCTGATGTTCCTGAGCTAAAGTAATGACTTCACCACTGAGACTCCCAACATACTCTAGTGTTTTACTCCCCCAAGTTTAGCTGATAAATATCAGAATCAGAAGTGGGAAAATTGTTTAAAGCTGTGCAAACTCAGTTTTTCAGGTTTCATCTTGTAAAACGTAAAGGCTCAGTGGTGTTTTTTTTAATTGTGTAGAAACATTTGGCTCTGATGTTTGAACTGCTCGTCTTCTAGAGGCAGAACTCAAACYAAGTTCTCTGCCAGACTTGACTGCTCTACTGCTGTTTTATTAAATCTTATTATAATAAGATTTTATCTGACGTGTCCCAAACATCAGTATGTCCTGTTTCCAGCCTGAGCTACTCAGACACRTGGAAACTTGATCTGGAAGCTTTTGACTTTTAGTTTTGATTACTCAGCGTCACATTTAGCAATAATTCAGTTTAGTTCCGGTCAGGATTTGAACTCATCCTGTGAATTTAAGCAGCTCTTTATCCTCTCCAGCAGTTTGTTCTGACAGCATAAAGGAATTCTGAGTTCAGTTTATTTTCATCTTTTGGTTCTTCAGTTTAAAAACTYTCAGGATCTCATCTCAGCTGAAACGACGAGACATAAACCAGTTTTCCATCCGTCTGTTCGTATTTTCATCTCACGTCTTTTATTTTCTCGTGACATCTCCTCTCTGTGCCGTAGATGCGTCCTTCTCAGACGAGTTGACTTTGGGCAGCGATGCCGACGCGTCCGGAGGTCCGGTCGAGCCGGCGGTGAAGAGGGAGCGGATTGAACTGAGCCACCCTCTGCAGGAGATGTGAGCCCGGTCCAGAAGCAGCAGGAACCAGCAGCCCTTCCTCCTCCTGCRGAGTGTGTGATGTAAATAGAGAAGGGTGCAGCCCTCCTCACCAGCTATTATATAAATGAACATTTCCTTTTTTGTTTTGTTTTGTTTGTTTAACTCACGGGGGTGTAACACAAATCAAACTTTTATCTTTTTGTTGCAACTGTGAATGACTCTGTGCTGTAGCTTCTTAGGACTCTGCGCGGCGGTGTCTGCCGTCCAKTTCCCGTCGTTTCCGTTCCACTTCGCCGTGCCCATGGTGTCATTTGAGTGCCTTAGATTGCTGACGTTGAACCCACCACTACAGATTGTGTCTCTGCCCCTCAGCTGTGCCTCGACCACAGTATGAATGTACCGTCTCCAAACCTCAAACATTCGAAGCACCTTCTGCGTTTATCAGGTGTCGGCGTGCTCTCCTCGTCGCCTCTTTCTCAGCTTGTAGCAAAACGTGTGCAAGGAAAAAAAACAGGTCAAAGAGAAGAGAAGAACCCAAAGGACTTTTCTTTTTGTCATTCCACCAGCCTGGCCGAGTGTTTTCCTCTGCGTCGGACAGGAATCAGGAAGAACTCGGCCGCGTTGTGTGTTTGTTTACCTCAATATTTCTACTCCGTGTGCAGCTTGGCTCAGATGTCACGAGGTGATTATAAGAACCACCGTTTTAGGTTTTATTGATTGTGAAAACGTCTGCACGTTTCTTTGATCAGCCTCAGTTTACTCAGTCGCCATCAAGCTGGAACAATTCCAGATTAATCAAGGTAATGGATACAGGATGTCAAACGTTAGAGCTCTGCACCCCGTCACAATAAAAGCTGCCCGCCGGCATCTGAGCCAACACACGCTCCCCCTACTTCAGATACTTTGACCTCAAGCTCCTACTCAAAGTCTTATATTCTGCGTGGATCAGATGGGAGAAAATACTGTGTGCTACTTAGGAAATGTCAATAATAAATTATATATACACGTATATCTTTATATGACGTAGAAAGTTTGTGCTTCGTGGCCTTTGCCTAATCTTCTGTTGCTGTATTTGTCACATTGTATCAACAAAGTGATTTTTCTTTAGTAGTTGATTAGACTGAGACATGTGACTGTTTTCAATCTCAAATGTTAAATGTTTTAAATTTAAATCTTACAGCAGCGTTTCTGCCTCCAGTAAACCTCTAAACTGTTACAAAAATACCCTATTTATATCAACTAATTTGATTTGTTGGACTTTGTAATTGGTTTGTTTTTGTTTTGTTTTTCTGCCCCGGATGATTCTGTCGTAGCAGTGGGAGTTATTTAAGGCTTTTTGTAACTCGTGCCTGTCACAGTAATTTGCCTTAAAGTGCTTTGGAAGAAAGTAACTCCTTACGTGTAACTTTGTAATGTTTTGTAAAGCCGTTTTAGATTTTTTTTGGCGGAGGATTATTTTTTATCGAACTAGGTTCTTACAGGTACACTGAACCATGATTTCTGTGCATTTTTAAACCTGTTCTTGACCACACTTTAACTAGCCCGAGGACAGATGATTGTCTAACAAACTGCATAGTTCAGCTGTATTTTGTACTTTGGTCACAATGTGTAATAAACTGTTGTAAACCCAAAGGTTTGAACACGTTTCATTTTTAAATCAAATTAAAAAAAAACATCAGATTTATAAACTAGTTTTATTTTCCTACAGTTTGGTAGACCTTTGAACATGTTTCTTTGATCCTTCAGGTTGCACTAAAGATACATTATTTACATAGCTTAAATATGTTGGTTTCATGGCAACTCAGCTTCAGTATAATCATTGTTTTCAGACAAAAAAAAGAGCTCAGTTTGCAGTTTCTGCTTACAAAGGCACACAGAACACAACAGGGAAAGTTTTTCTTCAGAAAAAGACAGAACCAAACGTACCACGCACACACACACACACACACACACACACACACAC